AAATGAGGTGGTGTATATATCTCACATATATATTTATACTATCGTACCCAATCACAATTTTTCTATTTAATAACAGTGAAAGAAAGATAGAATTGGTGCATTTAGAAACTGAGTAAATTATTGTCTATCAAATGATATAACAATTTGGTACTGGAAGCTCCCACATGTCCAACTGAACTCGTTTTCCTATTTTTGAATGTGTGCGTGTTACATCTTTTAACTTTTACTGTTTTAATCACTGCCAGTTAAACAATAAAAAAACGAAAAATTTTAGAAATTTACTGTGAAAAATGTATTAAGCTGTTTTAAAATTGATAAAAACAAGCGTATTTTATCTTGAACTTAAACTCTATGTGTATTGTTTTGTTTTGTATACATTCTTTTAAGATTATTGTGATTCCATACAGTGCTGTTTGTGTTTTGTATGTCCAGACACTATTTGAGCAGCTGTTGTAATGTAAATATTTCACTACTCTTATTCTTCGCAGTTTGCTCACGTACATGTACATGTTCACGAGTTTGCAACACAATAGATGTGGTTTTACTTCAGAAAATTGTCACCCCACCCCCAATAAAGAAAACTGCAATGCACCAAGATTGATCTTTCATAATGTTTTCGTTCAAATTATTGCAATGGGTTTAGACCTAAACTTCTCAGAGTCTGTGGTTTGTATTATTCCTGTCTCTTGGGATTTATGTGAACAAATGCAAGATAATTTTACAGCAATTATATCACTTTAGATATCAACTTGACTGAGTATTGTTTCTTGTTTTCCAACTGTAATGGGTGTCTGAATTTTGGTGTGTGTGTGTAATTTGATTGGTATCGACAAAAAATCATCGGCAAGTGAAAAACTACATCGTTCTGTCAGACACGTGTTGAAAAGTGACCACAGAGTCGTTTGTTTGCTGTATTCTGTCTTCTCTTTCATCAGCCTGTTCAATAAATGATACCTGAATCTGATTGACACTCAATGTGCTGTTGAGCATCTTTGTTTGCTATACTGGGTGACAAACTTATTTGTCATGTGCCAGATAATAAAGTTACACTGCAACATTTTCAGTGGAGTATAGGGGTTGAGTGGATCGCAATTCTGTTCGAGACGCCAATTTCTAAACCATCGCCAGTGCTTTCGTTCTAGCGTTTGATGGATTGTTTTGGGGGTGGGGGCCAATCACAAGGTTGAGTCTGGGCCATCGTCCGAATTGCATGGTTTCGCTAAAGCCGACTATTCATAACCGGCCCACGAACCCGTGCGTGATCGTGTTAGGAAAAGCTGTATTTCACAGCAGTTAAATTGAGTCATTTAATTGGGCGCGCCAAGAAGCTGGAGCTACCAATCAGTGAGCGCTACCAATCAGCGATGCTGTATCATAAATTTGGGGGTCATCACAGATTAAAACAATGACTGCATGTAGGCTCTACGTTGATTCACCAGAGTCAAGAACAGAAGGTCTGTTCGTTGACACGTTTCCAATTTTTGTTATTCCAACATTGAAAATTTTTTGTGGACAAGTGAATGAAGACTATGGAATGTTTGAATGTTTCTGCAAACAGTGTTTTAGTAAACTGACAAAAACTGTCGAAACGGATAACAGTTCTTCGTTGCAACTAACATCATTTCCCTTAGAAACAGCACTTTTATTATCTTTCGATGGTCAGTAAGCTCGTTCAGAGAAAAAGCTTGCAACATGTTGATTTCTATATTCAACCGAGCTAGCGCTGAGATTTTACCATGTAATATGTCGTTTATATCGCAAGTTCTGATTGGGTAAATCAAATAAGCCCTAGTGAATCTTATAATCATTTGAGGGCGTGCGACATACAGTAATTCATTGTGAAATCTGCCAAGGGTTAATGATGAGGCCGAATAAATGGCCCTTGGCTGGAGAAGATGGGTCTGGGTATGCAATTGTCACATTACAGGTTCAGTTGGGATGGAGATGTCAGTAAGTTGCTTTGTTCACCACATTCAGTGTGTACAAATTAGTCCAGCTTTCTTGTTCAGCTAAGAAAATCATTGAAATGACCACTCTTAAAACGTTTTTAATGCACAATTGCTTGCCTAGCTTTTGTGAGGGTGTCATTTTGAATGGTGGGATTTGATGGGAAGGCCCAGTTATTCCACTGAAAAGGAATTCTCGCATTAGAAGTGGAAAGGGACGCAAGTTGGAATTTGTGTTCACTTATTGCAAAGAATGTACAATGAAACAGATGCAACAAGCTCTGATCTTGTGCACAAAGTGACCAGTTTTACCTTCGTGGAGCGCAAGACGGTGATAGACAATATTGCTGTTCAGTGGCATATTATGTTGTTACCATCAAAATGTTACCAATGAACTGGTATAATCGGTATCGCTCTTGCTACAGCGACTATATCAGTCATTATTAAGACCCAGATAGCGACATAAAATCGTCTAAGTGAAACTATTATTGTATTTCAATGCATGCATCCGGTATGAAGAACCATATACCATGCTAATACATGTATAAAGAAAGATTGAGTAAAGAAACTTTTTTAAAAAGCAGGGAAAAGAAACTCAGAACGCGAATTTCGAACAGAGCTGACATTTCGCTCGCCTGACGAGCGTCGTGAATTGCGCTACTCACGCCTACATGTCGGGCTAACATTTCGCATGTAGAGCCAAATTTCGTGAAAAATTACATATTTTTTACTCTGACAATATTTTGGATGTTACGCTCAATGATGGACAGGCCCCGAGTATTTTTTCTTAATTCACAAAAAAAACAAAAAAAACATTGACCGTGCACAAATGCATCACTGGAGTCAAAGGAATCATCTTTTTAAAGAGTGCACTTGCAATTGAATAGCTTGACTACAGTCCCTCTATCCCCGGGACTGTGGCTTGACCAATGAAATCGATGCAGTTTGATTTAAAGTTGTTCAGGCGCGATATGTGTGAATACCACTTGTCAGCCTCGCTAGTTTGCATTATCGCCAGTTACGGCTTCGCTGAATCATGGTTAGATTACGTGTGATCGAAAATCCCTTAGTAACATTATATCACACACGCCTATAGTATATACACAGCTGGTGTTTCGTTGCTTCTTTCTTTATACCACTTATCGTAAATAATAATTAATTTTTGCGGCGATGTGCGCAAACCTCGAAAGACATTTTAATATACTAAGTATGTATTCATGTTGGTCTTCCTATTATTTTTTATATTTCTTCAAAGAGACTAAATACACCCGAATGCTATTTTCTAACCTAGCTATACGAATTGTCCATGTCTGTTTTATCACTTATGATGTCGTGTTAAGCAATTTGATCATTATTATTGAAAACACTGATTTAATATTGTATTATCGAAGTTTTCTTAAAATACTGTGTTTGAGTACTTTTATATATTTGATTACATGTACCATTTTTGTTTTGAACCACGTCTATAAAAAACATGTTGGTGACACAAGTGCGAACGTGATAGAAAACACCACTTTATTACGCATTTCTATAATGGTAACTTTCGACCAATGAGGGACATTCCTTCCTAGGGTTCAGAATCCCACCGAGCCTATAAATAGGACGCGCAAGTATTTCAGCGCCAGTGTTTACATATCTCTTTATGGTAAATTCTCCGGTATATCAGTGGATATACTATATTGATGTAATAACCTACTCTTACGCGTTTATTACTTACGTATTCGTTTCCTGTGATTGATTTGTTTGCATAGCCTGGCATTTCTTACTTATTTTGGATATAACCCAGTCACGAATCATAACCCCACATATGACCATTAATACCATCCGACGATTGTGATCGGCGACATATGTCCAGACACGGCAATTTAGAAACGCGTGATAAAATTACCAAAGCTAGTATTCAAACTATTGTACGCCATATTATTTTACTAGTTCGATTAACAATAGTAAGTAATGCGCATGTAAAAGCTAGCAATTATCACCAAAAAGTAATTGACCACCTCGGCACAGAATATTTGTAAGATTCTCGATGCCTCATCGATTGTACTTCGCAACAGTCACGGTGGGCGAACGTTTCGTCCGTGCGCGTTTTGAGAATTTTTAAAGTTTTGTTTTTTAAACTGTTACATCGAAGTGTTTGACGCCAGATTTTTTTCATGAACTCAACTTAACGTGACCGATTTGGACTAGCTCTGCGTACAGTGCTGTGTGTACGGGGACGCGTTTGGTTGATAGATGTCCCCACCACAGCCCTGCGTACCTCCATAGACAAAGTCCGGGAGCGCACCGTAATTGGTGCGCAAGTTAAAAATAACTTTTAATAAGTAGTTTCCCAGCCGAAATCGGTTGAAATGGCGATGGTTATCCATAACAAAAATTACAAAGTTATCTGAAACTGAAATGTCTTTAAATAACAACTAGTAAAGACGGACAAATTGTAAACCGGAGGAATTATCCACCAAACGCCGCCATTTTTAATTTCATTCACGCGAGAGAATGCGTTTGTTTTTAGGGCAAAGTAGCCGATTTCA